GTTCTGCCGAATGACTAAAAAGTGACTAAAAAGTTATCAGCATGATGGTAAAAAACTGTACATTTAGTCAAACCTTTCCTCTGCAATCTTATACCAAAAACAGAAATAAGGGCAGCATTAATAGCTATAAATGTGGGATAGCGTTGATATTATGTGATTGTGTTGTATTGCAACACAATTTTAAAACATTTTTACAAATGTTTTATGCATTTTCCAATGTTGCGCACTAGTCAAATCATTTGTATGGAAGCATAGCAGGAGGTGGGATCTGTTGAACAATAACTGTTGGCTTTGGCCTGTTCCTGAAGATCTGCCTACCTGCAGAGTCTAGTTTCAGCAAACATTCCTCTCTGCAATCATCAAGTCCTCAGCCAAACAATGACTGAACAAGGTTAAAGGCGTGTTTAAGCTCTTTCGGGCAATACGTAATTATCAGAGTAATTATCGAGTTATAAAAGGTTTTCATGTCCTCATAAACTTTCTGAGAGCTATAACTTGTATCATGCAACTGCTGTGTCACCCGATCACGGCATACTGTATACGCTTAGGCCAGGGATGGGCAACACTGGAGCCGGATTTATAAACATTCGCAATGTTTTACTTTCTTAAAGTTTTTGAACTTGAAAAATTAAGCTCACAAAAAAATATTCGAACACTGTGTCCTAACAACATTCAATGTGACAAGGTTCTAGCGTCAAACAAGTTCCAGCGTGGCTGCCTGCACCAGGCTTGTGCAGACATAGGGCTCAACCTGTGCAGTGCACATGCCCTTTTTAGTCTTGGACAGAAAGTGCCCTTCCAAAATGATCAAAAGTGCCACCCGCGACCAACCCCCAACCCCCACCCCCACTCCCATGACCTTCAGTAAGCGCGCCAACACCACTCTTGAGTAGGCGCACTGATATGATTTAGCACGACTGGCTTTATCTGTAATCAGTAATAATCCAATCAGAGTGATCCAAGCTTAAAATGAATGGATCGTTTTTCCCTACTGCTCTATCTTCGTTTTGGAAGAATCCCCCCTTCCACCCCATTTCCTCCTTTTCTTCCCTTTTTTAAAGGGAGCTCTCGAGACCTACCTGATCTCAGATGCCCTTATATGCTTATTGACCAGGCGGGAGCCCTGGGCTCAAGTATTTCCGAGCTCAGGGTTCTTTCCCGGGACAGCATGCCAAACCTGCGATTAACGCTTAGCATGTCTAAGTGGGAACTCTTGAATCACAGATCTGACTTTCATTTTTGTACTGTTTGCTAGTAGCTTGTTTTACTTTCAAAATCTGAGATGAACTATCTTCTGCTGCTTTCAGTTGGGATGGGGTTTCTAGGCTTGTAAGCTTTCCCCTTTGTCCTCCAAATGTAACACTGGCCATAATAGCCAAACAGTTCAATCTTAGTTCTATCAGACCACAGGACATGTCTCCAATAATTGTTCTTTTTTTTCCCAGTGTAATTTAGCAAATTGTAATCTGGCTTTTTGTTGATTTTGCCTTGTTGACTTTCCCATGTTGTCACACAAGGAAGCAGTGTGTTTGAGGTTTTCCTTAAAGACTATTGTGCCTCCAATTAACTCAAATGTTGTCAATTAGCCAATCAGAAACTTCCAAAAGCTTGACACCATCATCTGAGCTTTTTCAGAGCCATAATAATCTTATTGTATGTAAACTTGACTTTCAAGAACAGTTATAACAATTTTTTTTTAAATCTCTCATTATTCTGTTATTGAGCAAACCAGATTTTTTTTTTATAATCCTAACTTACCTAAAAGAGAAAAAGTTTAGTCACATGAACATCTGACTTTTTTTTTTAAATGGTTAATTGCATTTTTATAAACTTCTGGTTTTGAAGAAGATTTTTATTCTCTTTGTGTGAAGTATTTTCTAAGTGTAAAGTAGTTAATTTTCTCTTCTCAAAATGTATGTAGTGTTTGAAGCAAACATGCCAGCGTGTGTTAAAAATAAAGTGTAAGATGAGTATGCCTGCACAGGAGCAACACTAGGAGAAGGCTATAGAATGATTGTGTTAAATAACTGAATATGTGAAGCACTGATTATATATATGTTAAATACTTGTATGAAGCTATATGAGTCAGAAGTTAGAATGAGTAACATATTATCAAATTATTGTCCTATCATGACAATGTATGTAAAACACTTAGTTCCTTTGCATAAGTTGCATCTATACTTTGCTGACATAGACCTGTAACATCTCTGTTGACATGTTGCCAAGAATAGCAGGACCCCTTAGACTAGAAACCTATTCAAAAATGGTCAAGAGTTAAAAAGAGACACCTAGGGGTGTGTCAAATAACCTGTATAAAGATTTTGGAAACACAGAAACTTTAGATGGAGCAGGAGGAGAATGCTATGAGGTCTGCTCTGCTCTTTCTCGGCTTAATTATGAAGAATAAAGTCTATTTTCTGATATTCAAAACCTCCTGTCTGATAATTTCTAATTGATGAGAAGTCGAATTACGACAGTTTCAACTGTAACTCTGTAAAAAAAGCCATTCCCGAGGGTTTACTAAAAATAATGAGTAGGCCCACACGGAATCGTGCACACAGAATTACGCAGATTTTTAGCCCATCATTAATTCTGTTTATATACTTGAGTAAATAGGTTTAAGACTAAGTTTATTCAGCTTTTAAATTAATTACAGTAATTAGTGACTAATATGAAAGTGTTCATCTTATCTATGTACAATGCACTTTGTAAAGTAATATTTTCTGTCTTTTAACAGATATATTATATGAGAGACTTGCTTTGTTTACCAAATAAAGTGGATCTAATTGGATTTGCATTTTAAACATTAAATAAAAGTTTAAAAGATATTATTGTTTATTTCACATATTAATGCTTTAGTTATGATACTCCCAAAATAATTCCGCAGATTTTTACCAAAATTCTCCGCAGAAATATCAAAAAATGCCTGCAGATTCCGTCTAGCCCTACTAATGAGGTCATATGTCCTAATATCGTACTCAAAGAACTGATCCTGTACTATACTTAAATGGGGTAGACTTTTGTAGTAAAAAATTTACAAAATTATTAGATTATTATTATTTTTTTAAACAGAGCCTTAAAGCCTAGAGGAACATTTCATGGAATGATTGTTTTGAAGATGTGTGGAAAAAAAAGCTTGGCTGCTTCCTTTTCGTTTCTGCGTAAGTAATAAACCGGGAACTACATTTAAAAATACTTCACAACCTTTATGTTAGCAATTATACATTATCTACATTTATGCAGACTGATGGACATTGCTTTCTGTTAAGATCATCTAGATTCTTTGGTTCATCATTTTTATGAATGTCAACATTCAAAGAAGTTTAGTAAGACTTGTCGCTGTGTCAGGTTTTATCAGGTGAATCAGGTTTTAGATGAAATTTGACCCCCAAAGATGTTTTTTTTTTTTTTTTTTTGACTCAAACAATTAATCTGTGGTATTTAAACAAATCTTTTGATTTTTGTTTGTTAAATTTCATAATAATAATTAGATCGTATAACCTTATTTAAAAGTTGCTATTATAAACTTTCGCCTATATCTAGACTAGCTCCAGTATATTAATAGCAAAAAAATGTCAACATACAAATAAAGTTGCAAGGGGAGTTGAAGTTGAATAGTAAACTTGCTGTCGATTGCGTAGGTTAAATCATAGTTAGCCTATATATTTTTATTTACTTTTTATTTACTTTATACAATTAATATTTTAGTTAACTTCATGGTGTTAGTTACATTTGCATTATTTGATGTCATGTTTAAATTGCATATTTGCTGTTGTTTAAATAAAAATCTTCAGATTGTTGTGTTTTGGCTTCAACAGAAGAAAGAAAACGGATACATTTTAGAACCACTAACGTTAGAGTATCAGAAAAATCAGAGCACCTTCATTTTTGTGTGAACTATCTCTAAGATTTTCAAGTATTCGGCACAGGTCCATATTGAACTCAATGCTCCATCGCTGATCAAACATACTTGCTTGTAATGTTGAAATAATCCTAATTGCCATGTTATATTTTTCAGGCGTGTTGATTAAAGAAGCTGCTACCGGATCGGAGTAGCCCACTCGTGAGTCACTATCATATAGACTATTGCTAAAAAGAAATGTGTTGTCATATCAGTACAAAATTCCGAGAAGTTATGTAAACGTGCCACAAAGGACAATTACTTCATTATTGTGTCACAACTTATTTAAAGCATCTTTGTCCTATCAGCTAAATACCTAAAACGTTGTAATTTTTGTGTCGAAAGTCTCAGGAGTTGGGTACAGCATGAGGGTAATAACAGGTTTTACGTTTCGCCTCCCACAATGTGAAGCTAGTTGACAATTATTTACAAGGTAACGAGTTTACTCTCACTTTTAGTCAACATATGGGTTTTCTAGCCAAGTAAAATTAACTTGTTGCTTGAGGCGGTTTTGTTCCGAATCCCAACTTTTCTTGCCTTAACCGGTTTCTGTTTAACTTTCCAATGAAAGTAATTTCAATTGAAATGAAAAAAAAAAAAAAAAAAAGATTTAAAGATGGATAACAAACACCATTCAAACCGGTTGACCGTCACAAACCCATTAAACAGTGTTATGAACTAAACCTGACTGAAATTTGGCAGACATCGGTAAAATGCTTAAAACCCTAAATGGAAGATGGCAGTTTTCATTTGAACACCCCCTTCAATTGTTTACCCTGACAGAAACTATTATTTTCCCAATTTGCGAGCAATTTCCCCCACAAAACGGCATCAAATATTCCACAACACTTAAACTAAGTACAAACGTTTTTCTATTCTTGACACGTTGTAAAGTTGAGTCGGTTAGTCAGGATTTCATATTTGGTTCCCGTTCTCTGAGTTAGATGCACAAGGGAGTCACCCAGTGGCCATTTTATGACATAACACCTAAAACCTTGTGGTAAACAAATGAGGATGCTTTTGTATTTATTTGACGCTTCTGATCTTATGAATGTGCCAAAGCAAGATCAGAAAAATAATTCAGAACACATGGGACAAGTAAATGGACAGAATTATCATCCTGTTTATTGTCAAATGGGCCAAACCCTACATGGAATACTGTAATAACCCAACTTTAAAGAGGACATCACAGAAAAAAGGACTTGATAAAATAATATACATTTAAATTAATACATTCCACAAAACTGAAAAGTGCCTTTATATATTACTAAAAGGGTAGGTGAAGTGAACAGTTAAACTGCACACGAATGTTAGCATAACATAATTGGCAGATTTAATGCAACACTTGTATCTTTTAGTCCACAAGTAAATTACTAAACGATGAAGAACATCTAACAAGTACATTTTAAACACACTAAGGAAAAAATACCTGAAAAAGAATAAAGAACCCATGTTTTGCATACGCCACCACCAGTGAATACTGAAATGGTTGGAGTCTACAACCGTCCACACAGAGTCAACGTCACGTATCAAATTCGCAGGTCGGATCCGCAGCCAGCATCGAGGAGAGTCGTTTTTATATATTTTTCTTCCAATAAAATAAGCGCAAATGGAAGTGATCATTCAACAGCTAATCCCCACATTAAAACCCCAGGAGTTTAAATCAGGTCAGCGACATTCATGGGCATCTCCTCAACGGTGGTGTTGTAAAACGTCTCGATGTCTCGAAGAATCCTTTTGTCTTCCTCAGTAACGAAATTAATAGCTACGCCTTTTCTTCCAAACCGACCTCCGCGGCCAATCCTGAAAAAGCATTTGTAAATTTATTCACGTTGAATTCACAAACTAAAACGCAGTCAGAGGAAATAAAACAACAGATGGATCCCTCACCTATGGATGTAGTTCTCTCGATTTGTAGGCAAGTCATAGTTGATGACAAGCGAAACTTGCTGAACATCAATTCCACGAGCCTGAAGAATGAGGGTTTAGGTCAGTCAAGATCAAATGAACAAAATTAAATGCAATTTAATGCTATTGCAGCTATTTATTAAGTAAAATTCAGGATTATGAAACTTCTTTAGTAGGGCTGCAGAATATTGGAAACATCTGACATTGCAATATTTTGTTTTTCTGCAACAAGTATTGCTATAGGAGTAACATTTTACTAGATGAATTGAAATTCTTTTTGGAAAGCTTTCATTCGTTTAGATCGATTGGGATGATAAAGTCTTTAGGCAGTGCATTAGCAGTAATTACAATCTTATATAAAATTATGGTTGTCACAATAGTGGAATTTGGTACCAATCGATTCTGACATTTAAAAAAAAAAAAAAAATCCATTTCTCGCTGTCCAGCTTGTTTTTAGACTGAGCTGATTTGCCATTGCGTTCACATGCTCAACAGAAATGACCATGCTTGGCAGTGAAGGTCATCAGTTTACCGCCGTTTACAGTGTAACCACAGATACAGGGACACTGGAGTGCTTCGAAGCCACAATTCAATAGATTACTTGCATGTCAGCTTATAAACAAACCAGCTGATCGATGTGACTTTGAAATGCTCCAGTGTCCCTGTATCTGCGGTTAGAGTAAACGGCGATAAAAATGACCTTTACGGCTAATCAGTCATTTCTGTTGAGCATGTGAACATCATGGCAAATCAGTGCCATTTAAGAACGAACTTAAATGTTCGCGGGAAATGGACGTTTTAAAATTTCAGCATTGATTGGTACTCTGTTGCAGTATCGTGACAACCCTAAAATAAATACAACAGAGCAAAAATAAGTCAAATAAACAGTGCTTTATGGTTTTCTGGAGTCTAATGCTGTTCACACGAGACAGGGCATGCGCGATTTATAAAAATTGCAAATAAATCATGCTATTCGCATGTAAATGGACAAGTGAACAATAAAATTTGACACTCGAATAAGCGAGTAAACTCACTTCACAATATGCGGATTTGCATCATGGGCAGTGGTTTTGTGCCCAGTGACTCTAGCTTCATTGTGAAATGGCTAATATGGCTTTTATAGAATGAGTAGCTGTGTTTGTACTCTAAAAAGGCTGAAAAAGTGTATATTTGTTCGGCGCCGTGTCTGAATCCACTAAATCAGTACACCCAGCTCTGAGAGTTCAACTCCTGCAGAAACTGGAGGCTTTCAGCAGTGCTTTAGACTGACTTATGCCTGACGCTTCATCCGCATCTGGTGTGAATGCAGCATTACAGTTCAGGTAGAGAAATTAAAACCCAACAACATGGTTTTCATTATATAAACCATTTAAAAATAATTATATTTATTAATGTCTTCATCTTTTAATCTTTAATGAACAATCAAATCCTGCAATGTGACTGTTGCGGATACATGCACTGCGATATTAATGCTCAAACGATATATTGTGCAGCCCTAATCTTTAAAACTGATTCCAGACTTAATTTTCAATAGCTACATTTGCATTCAAATATACAAATGAAACTAGTGCAAAACTGGAAGCGCATAAAACCTTTGCAAATAAAGCACCGCTGGCATCTAACAAGTAAAACAAATGCGTGCAAATGTCACCTAAATGATTAACTGGCACCAAATATCAAAAAGAAAAAATTTTTGCTGCTTGTACTAATTTGGGGTATATAAAAATTTAAAAAAATAAACCAAACTACACAAATTACATTACTTGTAGACCAAGAACCAGTGGGTTCTGTAAAAAAAAAAAAAAAAAAATCACATTTAACTTTTCCATAATTTAAAAAAGTAACAATGCTAAAAATGTAAAAAATAAATAGAAACCGACAGACACTATACTGTACTCTTATTTCATCATATTGTACTATAAGAACGCCTTTTTCTGGCTTCAGGGTTTCAAGTCAAATTTAAGACTTTAAGTCCATTATATAAGAAATTTCAGACTTCCACAAAGCTAAATACCAAGGATTATTTCTAATGGCCTAGTTCAAACATAAAAAATAAAGCTCAAACATTATAGTAAGGAAGATAATTAAACCACATTTATAAACAAATATAAGAGTTGCTAAATAAAGTTAATAAATAAGAGTTGAATAAACTTTTACTGCGATGGAATGATAGTGATTGAATGGGTGTTGGCTCGATTGGGTTGCTTTTCATGGACATGGGAAAATTGATTTAAGACCTACAATACAATATTTCAGTGACTTTAAGGCCTAAAAATTGATTTTAAAATTGAAGACAATAAGACTTTAAGCCCAGGGTATCCACGGGGTCCTACTCACCAACAAATCTGTAGTAATGAGCACTCTGCTGGAGCCAGACCTAAACTCTCTCATTATTATGTCTCGCTCCTTCTGATCCATGTCTCCATGCTTTTAATAAAAAAAAGACAAATTCTTAACTTATAAAACAACCAATTGATTAGCTAAATCATAAGACCTAGACAAGTATGATCAGTAAGTCGAAATGTTCTCTCCATGAGAGGTCAGTCCCGAAAGATGACGTGCATCACTTCATACCTGGCTTAAATCATCAATCTGCAATAGTAGCTCAATCAGATTAGCGTGCACCTATACGTCTTGAACTTACCAAAGCAGACACGGTGAAATCCCTGGCATGCATTTTCTCGGTCAGCCAGTCAACCTTTCTTCTTGTGTTCAAGAAGATAACAGCCTGCGTGATTGTCAGGGTCTCATAGAGGTCGCACAGCGTGTCCAACTTCCACTCCTGCAGAACAAGTCAATTTACGTTAGCAGGGCAAACAGCGCAGAGACATCATTTATAGATATTCTGGCTTTTTATGATGCATGTGGCACAAAATCTTGAGACCTCGGACACCGGACATTAAGAAAGAGGTCCGTCCTAGACTCATTTCCGACTGTGTGCTTTTTGCTCTTCCTTCTTTGTGATTTAACCAGTACTAGCATGAACACCAGAGCGAGACCCGAAAGCATCGACCTGGTGGTTTTAGCATGGCGCTTTTTAAAAAGAAGGGACAAGAGACATTAGAGACAGCCAGTGCCTCACCTCTCGTTCTACATTGATGTAAAACTGCTTAATACCCTCCAGAGTCAGCTCCTCCTTTTTCACCAGGATGCGGACAGGTTCACGCATGAACTTGGTGGTCACCTCCAGCACATCAGCAGGCATGGTGGCCGAAAGCAGCACAACCTGGAAACAGAGACCGATTAGAGCCAAAACGTTAGAAAAGAAGCTACAAAGTATGTTGTTTTTGAAACCATAATGTGTAATGCGTTAATATGAATAACTAAGGGGAAAATTACCGTGAGCTGCATGAACACATTAAAAAATAAAAATAAATTCACATTCCCTGACTTTAACAGACTAAAAACCTAAATTTCCATGGTTAAACTAAAGATGACCATGTAATATTAAAATAGTTTGGTTAATTTTTCAGACTTCAAATAGAAAATTACAAAAAATAAAAATAGAGCACTTGGTCTTATACTGTGTACACCAGACATGGAACCAAAGAAAAAAAGTCAGGCTATTCGATCGTAAATGGACACAAACAGCACAGATTCGTTTAGCACAGTGCCTGACGCCCCATTCTCACGGGGCCTCAGCGTCAACGCTTGACAGAGGGCGTGTCTGAAGTTGGGGCTTATGCAATCATCATAGCAGCGTCAGCCAATGAAATTAGTCAGCAATCTGCTACAGTCTGAGCTGGTGTATTTGCATACAGCTATCTGATTGGCTGACGCTTATGCTGGCGCTTGAAAAGTTGAGTCCCAACTTCTGCAGTGAGCAACGCCACTGAAGCGCCGCCGACATAGCCACAATGCAGTTCGGCAACGCCTGACCTCATTCATTCAAAGTGAATTGGAACCTTTGAAGCCCAATGTGAATAGGGTGCGAGTTCACTGGATCCTTTCTGAGGTCCACCCAGCTCTGAGAGCTCAAACTCCTTCAGAAACTTCACATGGATGGAAGCTTTTAGCAGTGCTTCAGACTGAGCCGAACCCAGCTTTATGAGCTGTTGTCCGGTGCCAGCAAGAGGATTTCCCCTCAGGTCACCTACAACAGGCACTACGTCATTATCAATCCACTACAAGAGCAAGCTTCTGATTGGTTAACAGCACGAATGTCCACTTAAGTTCAGATTTTCCAACTAGAGCCTAATCGCAACTGTGCATTGAATTGACATGTAAATCACTTGCACTCGAAGCTTTATCCACGTCTGGCATGAACACAGCATAAGACCAATTGTCTGAAGTGGCCATTTCGTAGCCAAAGTTCTTGAAGCTGACATTTTCCTGGCATGTTTGCTTCAGTTAACAGGTACAGCTTCATGACTGCATTTGACTTAAGTTCCAGTGACTTAAGGTAATTTGCTTGTAAGGTTCCAATTGGGAACCACTGACTTAAATGATGAATTTGAAAGGATTCAAATGGCGCTGAAAAATAGCTCAACAGTACCAGTTGGCAAAACATGTGAAAAAAATAAAATGTTTAACAGTGGTAAAAACTAAAAAGCAAAAAAAGGTTCCTGATATCCCATGAATTGGAATAGCCATATTTTTAATGTCTGAAAAGGAGATTTTAAAATTCCATTATATTCAAGATATTCTAGTATGAATCCTGTGATGACCATGTTCTTTACATGATCATATGAAATAAAAGATGCACAAGATTGAGACATTCATTCACAAAACGGCACTCTGGGGGCCTGAAAACAACCATTTAAAAAAGCTTTTTTTTTTTTTTTTTTTTTTAAATGGGTAGATATGGTCTTTTAGTGAACTACAAAAGCACAAGCAGTGAAAACTGACATCTCCTGCATTCATATTACATGGCATGTGCAAGTACAACAACTAATGGTGGAACACAATATTGTGCAGCTCAAGATTGATATGTATTATCTTGCAATTCAACACAGTTTTAATAAGAGTTAATTTGATTATGATTCTGCCATTATGAAAGAAAAAGAAAAATAGTGATGCTAGTATTTCTTCCACAATGTGTTCCAATCAATATGTTTGTTGCTCTGAGCCTTGAAACATAAGCCACTGGACATTAAGAAAGAGGTCCAACTCAGTTTCATTTCCAGCGCAGAGCCATTGCTCTTCTTCCGCATGATACTCTGCTAGCATCATCGCATAAACCAGGAGACCCTGGAGTCTGCAATTTTAGCACAGTTCTTTTGAGCAGAAGGGGTCTATAAAGATTCTAGACTTACTTGAATGTTTGTGCTTAATTTCTGGAAAATCTCATAGATTTGATCCTTGAAGCCACGGCTCAGCATTTCATCAGCTTCATCAAGGACAAACATCTTGATCCATTTGGGAGCTGGAAGTAAACAACATTACGTATTTTACTTCTTATACGCTTAAACAGCTCAAACAAGCTGGTCAAAAAGTATGATCAGTTAAATTAGTGATTATCTCCATAACAGGTCAGTCCCGAAAGATGATGCCATCACTTCATACTTTGCCCTGCATGTTGTTTCAGACTAAATCTATGTGTATCGATTACTTACACAGATACCGCCTGTTCAGCATGTCAAACACACGGCCTGGTGTGCCAACCACAATGTGCGGAGCCTCCGCCTGGAGCTTTTGCATTTCGTTCCGCACATTGGTGCCTCCAATGCAGGCATGGCATGAAGCACCCATGTAGTCACCCAAAGCCAAGATTACCTTCTGAATCTAAAGCATAGACAAAAATGCAGAGTTTAAATGAAAGGAACACCTAGTAAACACAAGTACTGTGTACCATTAATGCAAAGCACTGGACAAGTATGATCAGTTGAAAAGGTCTTCTCCACAAAAGGTCAGTCCCGAAAGATAGTCATACCATCATTTCATACTTGTGCAAAGCTCTATACAGTTACAATAATTGTCAAAAAAAATCACCTGGCAGTCTAACAACCTAATTTCCAAACACTAGCAGTAAATAATCCAGCTCATTAAAGAATGATTGATCGATTAATCTGCCCGAAAAACTACATGGATGACTGCTTCCTGCTGAACAGATGATCAAATTATGCAAATTACAAACAAAATCCACATTTATTGACTGATAAAGCAGGAAGAACAGCAAAAGAGTACCTTGAATTTGGCTACTGCCAGAATATGCCGCCTTGGTCTGAGACACACATCTTATTGTGTTATTGTGAGCTCAGGTACAGCATACCTGCTGAGCGAGCTCTCGGGTTGGTGCCAGGACCAGAGCCTGAGTCTCTTTCTGCTCAATCTCCAGCTGCTGCAGGATGGAAATGGCAAACGTGGCCGTTTTACCAGTCCCTGATTGGGCCTGCGCGATAACATCATAACCTATGGAGAAATCAAGCATCAATAAAAGGACAACAAAAATGGAAACTACTTAACTGTTAGTCTACAAAGAGATGAGCAATACTAAAACCGGATCAATATGTACAGTTTGATTACCAGAGAGGTAATTAAAAACTATTTGTAACTTGAGCTCACTTTACCTTTTATGCAGGGAATTATAGCTCTCTGCTGAATTGCTGAGGGTTTCTCAAAACCATATGCATATATTCCACGAAGGAGAGTTTCCTTCAAGTTCATGTCATCGAAATTGTCCGTAATCTCATTCCAGTTGCTCTGTAAAACAATGTATATGAGATTCAATGAGAATCAGATTGATTACACTTAAATGTTGAACATCTTACTTCAATATTAGAAATTCTCCAACTTAAGGCTATTGCATTTATTTGGAGTAGACATCAAGTTAAGCTATCACTTTCTATATTCTGCGATGTCAATCAATCAAAGTTTGTTGATTTTTTATTTCCAAGATGTTAGTCAGGGGTAGCATTTTTTTTTATAACTGCACAAAGTCCACTAAAACTTTGTATGAATTCTCCACCAAATCTCTGACAAGAACTATAGCTTACTCTACCTTGATCCCATTTGAGGGTTAAAGAAGATAAAAGATTTTGAAAAAAAGGTTAATCAAACTAAGGACAGACTGTAACAAATATTGAGAACTTAACATGAAGTCCAACAACCTCAAAATGACCAGTTAAAAAGCAAGATTTAAGTGCAGCCTTGATTTAAATGCGGAAGGTCTGATGACAATGCATGTACACATGCATGTCACTTGTTTTTGGATATTAATCTCACTTCAAAATTTATGTAATAACACACTGTGTGAGAGAGAGAGTTTTAATTTTATTGCCATTTTAGCGTCTATGGCTATGTAATGGCAAAATGAAAATAGATCAAGTAAAAATATTCTAAGAATTAAGTCATTAACAGCAATAAATGTACAAGGTAAAATATATAAATAATAATAATAATGATAATATAGAAGAAAAATCTAAAACAATAACAATTTCCTTTTGATAAAAATTCTACAACTTTAACACCCACTGTGCGACAGGAAAAACCTAGATTGACAAATTGCATCAAAGAGGGGGTAATTGTTGCTTCAAATGATTGAAAAAAAAAAAAAAAAAAAAAACACGGAAAGAATTGTTTGAAAATTAAGTGGGAACAAACATTCTTTGCTGGCTGCATTTGATGTCAGAAAGTCCCCATTCCAAACTTCTCAAATAGTATATGAGGTTGGTGCGTTCAAGTGCTTTGAAGAAAAGCAGAACCATTAATTCATTATTAATTGATAGGGAATCTTAAAGCTAAAATGGATTGCGCTGACAGATTGAATGGAATTAAATACATAAACTTGCTTGTTTGTAGAGCAAGTAGTTTGACTGTTTTCTGTCATTTATAAAGTCATTTCTCCCATAGGCACCCAAATGAGAAGTTCAATAAAAAAAAATTATAATAATAATAATATACAAAAAAAGCGCACTTCCGTATTGCAGAATGTTGCACTGTACAAGGGTCATACACTTATTGCAGTGCAATGTGGGATTTAGTGCACTTCAGAAAGTGCAAGGCTGCATTCCAGTACACTCACAAACTTCCCCTCACTTGTTCCCTCGGAGGAAATTTTAAAGTGCATTCAACTTCTAGTGACTGAGGAAAGTTTACATGGACATACCCTTATATTTTGAAAAGGGGAGCAAATCGAATTTGTCCACTCCAGCACATATGTCCTAGGATGCAATGTGATACTCTAGCTATATTTCATCCACCTATTTTTATGTGCTAGTTTTAAAAATGTATAAAAAAAAACATGCTTGGTACCGAACAAATTACAGTATGCGCATTACAAAAAGTCATGTGAATTCTTTAGAGATCATGTGACGATAATGTGTGTGAACGGACAAAAGCAGGCATATTGTAAAGGGTCTGAAATGTTTTGGTCATTCTAAAACGCCTTAACAGTTTCAGTATTAGTGTTATATTAATGACCTTCAGAACTGTTAAGAGCATCTGTGCTCTGCGTCTCAAGCACCACCACATGTTCATTGCATGACAGCATCGACTTGTGAGGCGCAAGTCATTTATTAAACAAGGAAAAGATTCACGCAGCTTCTCCTACTGCAGCAAATTCAGTTTTAACTTTTGATATTTGATGATTTTGTTCTCTTTGACTCATTGAATTGAAAAGCTGCTTATTCGCACATCTTAAGGCCCGCTCACACGATGACTCTTTATGCTTGCATTTTCCATTGACATTTAACGCCTTGTGGATAAATAAAAAGGCACCAATGTAATCCTGCACACCAACACGCAAAACATAATTTTTAAAGAAATGCCTCATGCTCGTTTTTTGTTTTGATGTGCCGCGTCAAAATCATGGATATGGAATATTAGTCAAAAGAATTTTGCTTGGTTAAAAAAAATATAGAGTAAGCTTTGCTTGGCACATTATACAATAAAAAAATAATAATCCTTTTAATAAAATTATTGCTCAATCCTTTTAAAAGAGCTAAAAATGAAACCACCATCCCATCCCAACAAATAGATTAATACCAACCTCGATGACACCATCAGGCTCCATTCCTTCAGGCCCCCCATGGTCTCGATCTCGTGAGCTAAAAGAAAAAATAAATAAATAAAAAATATGGAGTTTTAAGAGTTACTGAATTTGACGATTGAGGTAAAGTTGGTTTTATATTCGCAGTCATTCAGTGGCAATTTGTGACATGCTCTCATTATTGTTTAACTTTAACGGGGTGGTCCACAGGGTACTTTTAAGGCTCGGTAGTGTTTGTAAGATGCAAAGCAATGTTGGCTCATGCTTCATTTGTAAAAATAATGTTATTTTTTAAGTTATCCTTTGATTATGCTTAGCTACTCCGCTAACATGAGAACGTCTATCACATTTCCCAATTCCTCTGAAAGGCCCGCCCCAAGAGGCTCTGATTGGTCAGCTAACTTGCGGAGATTCACAGATCAGCTCCACATCACCAGGAGGGGTGTTATAACATTACAGTGCCTCTGGCCACACCCCTTCACTGCACAGTGTATGTGCATAATCTGAACGGTTTGACATTAACCCAGATGTATTTCTTTGTAGTCTTCAAACATCCGTTCACTGTAGGCTTTGCTAAGAGAACTCTGTAAAAGCCAATTGTCTCGCTTTGCATTGAACGGATTTTAACATTCAGAGATGTTGTTTGTTTTAACACAACATCATTACAAATCAGCTAAAGTTTAAAATGATATTATAGTGAACCACCCCTTTAAATAAAAAGTCTGAAATCACATGCAAGCATGACTTCAAAACAGCATTAGCACTATTTGCCTGTGAACAATGTTGTACTTTGATAGTCATTGGCTGCTAATATGATTTTACTCTTTAGAATTTGCGAGGAATCAATTTCTGAAACTATATTAAGAAAGTACTAACGTGTGAAAAAAACAATTTAACCTTATTAATTTGACGAGACTAACAGGACTCGAACCTCCACGGGATGTTGGTGGGCGCACATTGCAAAAATACCACGTGGACGACAGTTAACGATCAAAACGTTTAACAAAATAAGTTGCATGTCGTGAAACTTCGCGTAACGTTATAAGCTCATGGCCTAAGTTAAGTTACCTTAAAAGCCTACGCCCAAATTTGGTGAGTCTCATTTAACGTTACAGTGCAAACAGCTGGTAATGTCTGACGCATTAAAAGCGGGTTTCGCTGTGCATGGATATAACGTTAGTATATAACCTATTATGTGCTTCCCTGTAATAACTCGACTTAAAAATAGAACAAGTAAGAAACAAAACCTTATGGTAAGTTAACACTAAGTTAGGTGGTATACATGCAAGGACTCACGCATGGAGGCCACGCGTTGGATTTCAGGGTGGGCGTGAAGCCTATATAATGGTTGTCGTTTCGACACACATCAATGTCAATAACATGAACTATTTAAATATAATTACTGTGCATAAAATCAACTGATAAATTCATTTGGCTTTCAGATACAACACGCATGCAAGGTAATCATTCGCAGCTAACAGCCGTTAGCTGTGCGGCCTGCTTAATATCAAACGCGCCATGTCAAAATACACAATACCAGTGTTATAAATAGCTTAGCGCATCCCCAGTTCAACAAAACACAAATATACTGACATAGTATGAAATAAAATGCATTCAAGTTAATCGTCACTGGGGGTTATACCTGTTGTAATCAGCAGAACCGCTAGACATGGTCCGTTCGCGACTTCGGCATTCACTCGGAAAGGCAGAACATGTGAATCTCCGGCGATTTTATCGTACCGGATCTTATTTTTGTACATTTAAACTAAAACCGCAAACACGCAGAAAGAGCTAAACGCGACACAACATTTTATCGGTCGTGACAAGAGATGTAATTCCAGTTGCATATGTTTTAATTTTGTGAGTGTTTGTACTTGTTATATCGAAGTTTGCATGGAACTATATTGAGAAGCGCAAGGATATTGCACCATTGATAGAGTGTAGTGGAGTCGCTACGGGGTCTCCACATTCCTGGCCTTAAAATGGGACTTAAAGGGACAGTACACCCTGTAAAATAAATAAAAAACTAAAAGTGTATCTTTCCTCTTTTGTGGAATTCAAAAATAGGTCACCATTTGGTACCATCAATTGCCATTTTCTTTTATTGTATAAACAAAATGAAATGGAATGTTAAATGACAGTTCAAAATTAAAAATAAGTGGGATTATTATGCTTTTTTGCTCGTGCAGTATGCTCTTTTTCCCTTCTTTTTTCTCTAAATGCTCAAAACTACTTGACCCCTAAAACCTATACATGTGATTCAGATTCAAGTAGTTTTTGGGCATGATGAAATTATTAATTATGTTGCCAAAGGATTAATAACACTACACTACATAGTAAAACATCTATGCACAAAAATAAATTACTGAAAAAAATAGAGAAACAAAATATCAATATAAATCTGGTGGAAAGAGTACTGAATAATCATACCCAAGTAAAAGTACCATTACTTGCCCAAAAATGTAGTGTAAATAGAGTAAAAGTATCTGTTGTAAATATTACTCAAAGGATGAGTAAAAAGTGGGCCTTTCTAAAGTACTCAAGAGAAGTGGGTAGTGAGTATTACGCTGTAGAAAGCTGATGCGTTTACATATAATTTGTGCATGTGTGTGTAAACGTAACATTCTGTAGTGCGTAGGCACACAAAGTCATAAGACGTTAATATTAGGTTAGATTTAGGTTGTGATGTCAAGTGAACAAAATTCAATGTCTAGCCAGCATCTAAAGACAAAGTTATTTTGATGTCCAATAATGACATCAAATGACGCTGATATTTGGTTGATTTTAGATTGTGTTGGAAAGTGATAAAAATCCAACATCACCCCAACTCCTTAAACCAATGTCATATTGTCGTCAAATACTGACATTTTTTCATAAGGTATGGCAACCAAAATCCATCGTCTGATAGAAGTCATAGTGGTAACATGATGTAACATTATAAGATGTTGGTTTTTGGTTGAACATTGGACATTGACATCAGCCTGACGTTGAGTTCTGACATCAACACGATTTTCATTTCCAAACTAAATGCAACATCCCCATGACGTTGGGGTACAGCGTCAATCTAATGTCATGTTGATGTGAAGCATGCATGCACATTTGTAAATGAATAAATGCATAAATAAATAAATGAATTAATTAATTAATAAATAAATAACCCATGGGATGTGATTTTTGTCAACATGTCAGTAATAAAATTTAACTAAATTAAATTAATATTTGTTTCTATAGCACTTTTACTAAATAGATTGTCAAAGCAGCTTCACGTAGAAATTTGAGTGAATTAAAACAATGTCAGTCCAGTTTTCAGAGTTGAAGTTCAGTTTAGTTCAGGTCAGTGTGATTTAAATGTCAATACAGTAAGTCCAAAAATTGAAGAGCAAATCTATCGATGCGCAGCTCAACAAGTCCGAAACCAAGCAAGCCAGTGGCGACAGTGGCAAACTATACCAATTGACGAAAGTGAAGGAAAAAAACCTAGAGAGAAATCAGGCTCAGTTGGGTACGACAATTTCTAATCTGGCCAAACTTCTTGTGCAGAGCTGCAGTCTAGGCACTGGAGGCAGGAGAACGCTGGACATCCATCGTGGAGAAACTGCAGGTGCGAGTAGGTCCCTGGTGGGTGTTCAGGCGAGCCCACGCAATCAATGCAAAGACTCGTCTGTCACTGTGGTCTTTCAGGAGTCTCATGCACTCCACTTCATGACCACCACAGCATCTGCTCAGAATGCGGCCTAGTCCAGGATTATGGAGACCTTGGCATCATTTCTTCACAGGTCTTAAATTGCATAAATTGCGCTGCATGGTGTCTAGGGGCCTTGGCATGAGTATCCCCAGGTGTAAACAGAAAATAAAGAAAATAATTTAACAGTTGGTCAATATTGCTGCTACGGACAAAAGTATAAAGCTCAAACTTTATTAAAATGTTTCAAATCTAAGTCTGAAAAAGGTTTTAGATTTGTCTAAAATATCACAAAAACATAAATCCAGCCTTGTTTATGGGTTACTTGATAAAGATTGTTATTAATCATATCAAAAGATAACAGCTAGTATAGAATGTTTAATATTGCATTGATTAAAATTACCTTCCCAATGAAGAGAATCACAATTTAGTACTATATATTTCTAGAAGAGACACGGTGGCTCAGTGGTTAGCACTGTCACCACACAGCAAGAAGATTGCTATAGTTCGAGTCCTGGCTGGGCCGGTTTACATTTCTGTGTGGAGTTTGCATGTTCTCCCCCTGTTCGCGTGGGTTTCCTCCGGGTGCTCCAGTTTCCCCCACAGTCCAAAGACATTTGCCGTAGGTGAATTAAATAAGCTATATTGGCCATAGTGTATAGGCGTGAATGTGAGAGTGTATGGGTGTTTCCCATTGTTGGGTTGAGGCTGGAAGGGCATCCGCTGCGTAAAACATATGCTGGATTAGTTGACGGTTCATTCCGCTGTGGCGACCCCTGATCATTAAAGGGAAGAAGCCGAAAAGGAAATTAATAAATAAATGACCATAGTGTTTGTGTGAATGTGAGTGTGTATGGATGTTTCCCAGTGATGCGTCATAGAAGTGCATCCACTGTGAAAAACATATGCTGGATTAGTTGGCGGTTCATTCTGATGTGGCGACTACTAATGAACTGAAGGAAAATTATTGAATGAATATAACTAGATAATTAATTTAGGGCTAATACATTTATCACAGTTACTATATAAAATAATATAAACAACATATTCTAGTGTTTATAATATTTCCAGGTTTTCTTAAGCTATGGGCTTGCATGCTTATTAAATAAATGAATGTACATTTAGTGTAAATGTGTAACATTGCAGGCCTGTAGTTAGCCTATTAAAGAGTGTGTTTCTTTTTTTCTCAAAAAGTGGATCTATTTGCAATTATTCGAGGTTTAAATGCTGCATTTTAGTGACATTTCAAGCCCTAATTTGTGCTGGATTAGCTTGTCTGATGGTTATCATTACCACACTTTTGATGCAACAAAAATATTTGCTACATTTTTGTCAAAGTGCTTATCATACTAATTTTTTGTTTACAAAAATGTATGTTTATTTACAAGTGTTCATTTAAACCGTAACGTATTACAGTTATATATATAATGTAATGATATTAGAATCTTAGAAGTATGAAAAATGCTAATTTATTATCATCCATCATAAAAAAAGCAAGCAAACAACAACAAAAAGTGGGAATTTGATTTAAATTAGGTGTCACGGTGGCTCAGTGGTTAGCATTGTCGCTTCACAGCAAGAAGAATGCTGGTTCGAGTCCTAGCATGGCATTTCTATGTGGAGTTGGCATGTTCTCGCATGGGTTTCCTCCGGGTGCTCCGGTTTCCCCCACAGTAAAAAAGACATGCGGTATAGGCGAATTGAATAAGCTAAACTGGCCATAGTGTATGTGTGTTAATTGAGTGTGTATGGATGTTTCCCAGTGATGGGTTGCAGCTGGAAAGGCATTCGCTGTGTAAAACATATGCTGGATAAGTTGGCGGTTCATTTTGCAGTGGTGACCCCTGATGAATAAAGGGACTAAGCCGACGGAAAATGGATGAAATGAATGAATGTTTTAAATTATAGTAGCCTACAGTTAAATAACAAATTGGCCAGCTCATTTCCTCAGTCAGAATTTGTCCATTTAAATAATAAAAGCCTTATTTTATTGGTTATTTTATTGGTTATTCTTCTTAAAGCCTTCTTATATTGGTTATTTTTATAATATATGATGACATACTGTCAAAAATGGAATAAATGTGTTCATAAAGGCGTCAAATTAAGGACTTTGTCAGAAGCCTCTTTCACTCTTTATAGCAGCCTATAATCAATTTAGATTATATATAGTATTTAGAGAATGATATAACATATTGTTTATTCATCTCGTGCTATATTACAATTCCGTTTTGTATATTTCTGCTTATGACAGTACTGGGCCATCATATGAAGGAACGCTAGATCTCTGGCGAACAGCTGACTGCGGTACAAATGTCACTGCGCATGAGCGGAAATAGGTACAGTGCAGAGAGGGATAGCGGAAGAGGGAGTCTGGAAATCACAAACATGGTAAATGTTGAAAAAAAAAACTATTCCTTTACTAATACAGTCACAGAATACCCATAAACCTCTACGTTGAATCTCGTTTAGTTAACAGGTGATTTATGACGACGGCCGTCCATTAAATATAGCATGCCGGAGAGTTAGTTTAGTGATGAATTAATTGTTGGACAGCTATACAGAGCAGGTAGCTTTGAAGCTAGCGAGGTCAAAGCTGTTGGGCAGCCGGGGTGTCAAGTTCATGTCAGAAATGACAAACCGGATTAATGGGTCAAAGCAAAGCATTTTTAGTTTGTTTATCGGTGACAGAACTGTATGCAAACAGCGTGAAAGCAGCTAAGCGTTCGTTTTGCTTTGAGTGTTTCTGTGTTTCTGTGTATCATTTATACAGTGTTGTCAGTAAATAGCAAATTAATAATTTATATTATAAGTTAATAAACTTAAAAATCCAGTGAAAGTCCAGCTATTCTGGTTCTTAACTGAACTCAACGATATCCTTTTAAAACGCTGTACGTGGAAAAAGCTTAACGTGGCTTAATGTACCTAAACATAAACTACAGAAACCCAAATTTCTGATAGAGGTAAAGTTGGTTTTATATTGGGATATTTAGACAGTCTCCTTACTAATATAATGTCAGAAAAATATTATTTGCAAATTCTAAATAAGGAAATCATATATGCTGCAAATGACTATCAAAGTACAGCATTGTTCACAGTCATTTATATAGTGTTAATGTTGTTTAGAAGTCAGACTTGCATGCTAATTCCTATCGAATGTGCCAATATAAAACCAATTTTCCCTCGATAAATTTCTGTCAAACTGTGCTTGTAATTAACCCCAACTACTGTAAAAAGAATGAGTCCCAATTCCATAGATAAAGTGAAAAACATCACATTAAGCATTTTCTCCCCCATTGAAGTCTATTATGAGGAAAAAGCTTAACGTGGCTTAATGTACCTTAACAACAAGTAGGCATGGGATGATAACCGTTTACAAGGTTTACCGCGGTTTAGAAAAGTCAAGATTTCAAAACCGCAAAATTGTCGGTAATACCGTTCCTAAGGTATGTGTAAGATTTTTTTATTTACGTTTTAGTTTATTTGTTTTTTTTAAGACGACTGTATCTCCAGCCGAAAAGATCTCCGAAGATGCTGTTTAAATTTTAATGAAATCTGTTTTTGAAACTAATGAGGACAGCATAAGTCAATGTTTCGTTTGAAATATTTAGCCTGACATGTTTACTGTTCCAAAATATTTTAAATATTTCACAAAATATAATATTTTGTGCTCAAAGAGGAAAAAGGCTTTGTTTTTTTAACCCAGACATTTAAAAAGAACACATTGTAGAGCATTGATCACAATACCGTGAAAGCCGTTTTTATCCAAAGCTATCATACCGTCAGAATATTACACCGGTTAATGCCTAAAGCTGGGAAAATAAAATATCTATCAAATTTTAGCTGTGATTAACACTAACTTTGATTTTATGAACAGCCTTTTTTAAACATTTGGCTTCCCTCGTTTGTTGTAAAGTTATTTTAAGCCTTTCCTTATTATAGACTTCAATGGGGAGAAACCGCTTAATGGGATAATTTATCTATGGAATTAGGGCCCGGTCTTCTGACTATAGTTAGTGTTTATCACAAGTAAAGTTTGACAGATATTTGGGTTTCCCTGGTCGGTTAAGCCACCTTAAGCTGTTTCCTTATAACCCAAAACGCATAACCAAAATTTTCTCTTGACATCAGAAAGTGTTTGTCATGAGTATAATTTGATAGAAATTTAATTTTCCCCACTGGTTGTTAAGGTACATTAAGCCATGTTAAGCTTTTTCCTTATAATAGACTTCAATGGGGGAGAAAACGCTTAATGTGATGTTTTTTTTTTATTTATTTATTATTTTTTTTACTTTATCTATGGAATTGGGACTCTTTCTTTTTACAGTAGTTGGGGTTAATTACAAGTACGATTTGACAGAAACTTGGGTTTCTCTGGTTTATGTTTAGGTACATTAAACCACGTTAAGCTTTTTTCATGTTAACCGTTTTAGAATGTCCCATATCCTGTTGTGGAAGTGACTGTGCTGACATCTTATTAACTGTGTATGTTGTTTGTTTCAATTGCAGAACAAGCTGAAATCCTCTCAGAAGGATAAAGTTCGCCAGTTCATGATCTTTACCCAGTCAAACGAGAAAACAGCACTCAATTGTTTGTCTCAGAATGATTGGAAACTAGACGTTGCTACAGACAACTTTTTCCAACATCCCGACCTCTACGTACAGAATCTAAAGGGAACACTAGACCGCAAAAAGTTAGAACAGCTCTATAATCGGTACAGAGGTAAGAATTAAGGAGCCCATTGTTTTTAAGCATGTTAAAATCCAAAAATGTATTGTAAATCATCTAAACCAGGGGTCTCAAACTCAATTTACCTGGGGGCCGCAGGAGGCAAAGTCTGGGTGAGGCTGGGCCGCATAAGCGATCAAAGGTCATTATTAATAGTTTTAATTATTTCTTCTGAACATGAAGTGTCCTGAACATTAATAGAACATTGAGTGAAGATTATGAACAGTTCTTCTGAACATGGCATCTTTTGCCTACTTCTTGCTGCCAGAGACTTGACAGCGCTTCTTCTCACAAATCTGAACCACATTTGGCTTTAGAGCGGAAGCAGTTGAGACCCTCATTATGGCTTGAAGATGATCATCATTAAGACTAGACCTGTACTTTGACTTATTGAAGTCCTAGGGAAAAAAGTGGGGGAACTCACTCCAAACTTCCATTCCCTCACCTAAAAAAAGGCGTATATATGTATAAATAAAACACCCCCACCCCACTCCAGTCACATCAGTCTGTACCAGTCTGTATCTACCTATAATATATATAAGATGCAGGCTGTAGCTAGGTAGGTGGCAGGCTGCAGATAGGTAGCTAAGTGGCAGGCAGGGGTGGGAACAGCTTATCTTGGTTCTGGCCGGCGCGAGTTCCCTCCTAAACACTTCCCGCCCGTCACAGCGTCTAACAAAGGGGCGGGGTGCGTGGTGACTTCACCGGCATCCCCGCCCCTTTGTTTGCACGGCGGGCGGGGAATGCCAGTGACCGCTGTGTACGGATAGAATCAGCGGAGCGGGGAGCGCTCTCCCCGCTCCGCTGATTCTGTCAGTGTACAGCGGTCAGCGCGGGCCACAAAATATTGCACTGAGGGCCGCAAATGGCCCGCGGGCCGCGAGTTTGAGACCCCTGATCTAAACCATAGATGACCCAATCCAGGGGCCATCTAAACTCAAAGTTGGCCCATGGTAACCTTTGATTTGGCCCACCATTGGAAATGAAAAGAGAGGGAGAATGATGTGGAGGTGGTTGGGTGAAATGCTTTTGACAGAGGTTGTTATTTTGAATTTATTGTAACCTTTTCTTTCTTTGTTTTAATGCTAACCTACAAAAAACCAACTGAAATTAAATGATACAATTAAACTATGTAAATGAATCAGATTTAAAAAATGTAAATAATATCAATTGACAGATAGAGGATAATCTAGGTAAAAGCATGAGCAGCTCGACTAGTGTATTCAACATTGAACTCCATTGTGTTATAAATGTATTATATGCAAACAGACTTTTAAATTCAGTTTGCCAGCCCCAGTGCTTCCGCTTAATTGTCATCCCATACAAAATCGCCTCGTTTAAGATCTGATTTCTTTAAAAAACTGTGACCTTCACTGCCTGGCTGAGATACGATATAAACTGGGTATCAGACAAAACAAGAAGCACTGCATTAAATTATATTTTTCCCCGCCATGTCTTTAAAATATGGGAATAGAGTGAAGGAACTGACGTCACTGTAGGCTAATCGGCTGCTAGCATAAAACTGGTTCCCTCGTGAAAATCCCAATAGGATTTTCCCATAGGCTTTTCAAAGATTGCAAATAATAAGCTCTGTGTTTAAACACTGGTCATTACACTTACACGTTTTGTCCAGCCGGATAATCCTCACACAAAAATACAACTTTGAGCACTTTTGGATCTTAAATACGAACACAAGAATTGAAAAGCTAACATTAGGCTATAAACGGACTACAGAGCACTACCCTGCTACAGACAACTTTTCAAACTTATTTTTAGAAATAATGTCCATGACAAAGAGTTAATCTCTGTTTATTATATTATAATCCACGGTATATATTATAAACAAATAAATACGCAAAAACACATAGACCTATGTGCCTTTTGGATCGTTTTTACGTGGGAAATGCATGTTTTGCTCTAAGGTTGTTCTAAAATTTTTAAAACTGTGTGTGTAAATCTGCCTACATGGTATTATCATAAGACATATTTAAATAAGTGTATCGCTCGCGTGCACACAGCCCGCTTACCTTAACAAACGACAGAAATGAGGCGTGAGGAGGAACAAATCTATCAAATGCCTGCAAGTTCCATCACATTCAATATTCCTTTTTTGTCATGAAGTACAGTGAAAAGAAGCCCAATACTGTCACATGTGCTTTACATTTTATGGAGGAGTGTATATATTGCAGTTATGACCGAGTTAAATGTGTTAAGATGAAGAAGAAAAGACGAAAATTCACTTGATCACGTGAAAATGACAGTTAGCATGCATGTATTTTTACACATTTATTCACACGTTTGCATTACTGAGAGCAGAACAGAGACAGGCTGCAGTGGTAAGCTGTATCTTCATAATATTGTTTATTAAAATAAATGATCAACAAATGAATCTGTCTCGACAGCCTTTACAAGTGAAGGAATTATCTACACACAATCTGAATTCCCAATTAGAATAATACTACAAACTTTCATTCATTCATTTTCTTGTCGGCTTAGTTCCTTTATTAATCCAGGGTCGCCACAGCAGAATGAACCGCCAACTTATCCAGCAAGTTGTTACGCAGCGGATGCCTCTAGCTGCAACCCATCTCTGGGAAGCATCCACACACACATTCAAACACACACGCATACACTACAGACAATTTAGCCTACCCAATTCACCTGTACCACATGTCTTTGGACTGTGGGGGAAACCAGAGCACCTGGAGGAAACCCTCGCGAACGCAGGGAGAACATGCAAACTCCACACAGAAACGCCAACTGAGCCAAGGCTCGAACCAGCAACCCAGCGACCTTCTTGCTGTGAGGCGACAGCACTACCTACTGCGCCACTGCTTCGCCCTAATACTACAAACTATAAAATACTATTCATGAAAATACCTAATAACTGACAAATCCAAATGGCCAACACAAGCGTGCTGCGCTCCAGACCAGATCAGCTCGATGACGTATAATGTCTCCGACACCACCTGTAGTCCCATTTAGCAACTTGATAGCAACCGTCTTTTTAAAGAAGCATAACCGATTTAAAAGTTCAAGAGTGTGCTGTAACTGATGTGTTATATGTCATAGAATAAAACGTGAAAGTATCTTGAGTTTGTGTTAGCCACAAACCTTATTTAAGCGATTTTACTGAAACCCCATTGAAAAAACCCATTGACTTTGGGACGAGGGAACCGAAACTGCTAAAATGCTAACTCGCTTCCGGGTTTTTGCTTACAAATTGACGTCATAGTTTCTCTATAATTCTCAGGGGCATTTTTGCGCTCATCTGCGGCTAATGACGGTGCTAGCATTTACACAGTTTTTGGTCTCTTTTTACGCTTTAACAGCCAAATGGATGCATGCGTCTCTTTAACTGAATGTATTTTAATTACATTCAACATCGATGCTGTAAAAGGAACCTCATGAAAGTGAAAATAGTCACATAAAGCTCTAACCGGAAGTTCATCATTGGCTGAAAAACACTAGCTGTGCAAATAGCTCATTAGATTGTTTATGTTTTTACTGTAATAAGTTCATTAATAAATGTTACAAACGAGATTAAGGATGCACCGATATGGATTTTTGGGCTGATATCGATAACTGATATCTAAAATAAAGATTTAGAGGCCAATAACCCATATATTAGCTGATAAATATAAATATTATTATTAGTGGTGGGCTGTTATGACCCTTAACGTGCTGCGTTAATGTTAGACTCTATTCTGGGTCTATTCTATGCTAGCTATAATGACTTTTACCTTGATATTTAAGCGTGGATGGATAACTGACCGGTGAGCCATCTGACAAAAAATGTGCCCTTCTAATTCTAAATCACTTTAACTCATGAACATTTCATTCATGCCCCTGTGACAAACTGGTGTATTAGATGCAAATAAGAAGTAAGAACTGGTGAGAGTGTTATGGAATTTAATAACGCACCCCAAATCAAACAAATAAAAAACGTCTGCGTTTCGCTGTGTTCGTGTGCGCGTGCGTGTGTGCGCGGTCCTTTACTGACAGCTGCGTGTGGATCTTGTTGGAAAATATTGCGAAAAGTCCTACATATAGATCTGTCATATATTTCCAAATTCTTTTAATATGCCATTATTTTAAAGATTATGTCTTGAGCATCTGATTTTTCTTCGCTGCTGATGTGCTTTCATTTTCTCTGTCTCACTCGCAGCAAGTTTAGGCAAGGGATTGTTTAATAAGCAACCCTTGCAGGGAGATATATGTTTAGATTTCGAAGAAAATACCTTAATATTAAAAAGAAATCATTAGTTTGATCCTATTCATGTCATAACGAATGCCTTAAATAATTTAGTTATTAGTTGTCAGCAAGCATCAGTGTTTATTGAGATTGACATAAGAAATATCATTATGGCAACACTTGTGACTGCTTTGGGAAATAAAGCTTGTCATAGACGTCACGGGAGGACTGATCGTGAAGGAACGTGTAGTCTGGCACATTTGTTTACCACGACATGTCAAGATTTTATCAAGAAAAAATTGCATAATCTGACATAGTGACTTTCGTAACCCTGTGATCTGACCAGGACTTTATTCATCTTTACAGACCCTCAAGATGACAACAAGATCGGTATAGATGGGATCCAGCAATTCTGTGATGATTTAGGACTTGATCCAGCCAGTATAAGTGTACTGCTAATCGCTTGGAAGTTTCGAGCCGCAACACAGTGCGAGTTTTCCAAACAAGAATTCATGGAGGGAATGGCTGAACAAGGGTAGGGTAAAAGTTTGTTTTTTCCCTCTTCTCACCACATTGGGACTGTCTGAATAAGATTCCCCACCGCATTGTGTGAATTAACCTTTTTTTTGTCTTGTCAAGGTGTGACAGCATAGAAAAACTCAAGGCACAGCTACCCAGGATGGAGCAAGAGTTGAAGGATCAAGGGAAATTTAAAGACTTCTATCAGTTCACATTTAACTTTGCTAAGAATCCAGGACAGAAGGGCTTAGGCATGTGTTGGGTTCACTTTCCTTTTTTAGTTTCATTTTCATGTAGTTAACTAGCGTTTTTTCAGTTTTATTGTTTTGTTTTCCTCTAGACCTAGAAATGGCAATTGCATACTGGAATTTAATATTGGCTGGACGTTTTAAATTTCTAGATCTATGGAACAAATTTTTATTGGTGAGTATTGGTATTTATTTATTGATTAATTCATTGATTATTCAAAAAAACAACAACTGTCATTTAAATACCAATGTACACTTCAGTACACACACGAACATACAGCCTTTAAGAGTATTCTTTCATTTAATTACTTGCACAAACATGATAATTTGATGTTCAGTGTTTTTACCTTTTTTGAATCAGAAGTTATGATCAAATATCTTTTGTATTTGTTGAAAAAGTTACTTGCATCTTTTAATCCTGTCACTTAAGATTGTCAATGATGCTAACTTTAGTGCTGAAATTGTAAAAACATCTTTTATTCCCGCTAACATTTGAGACAGGGTGTCTTAAAAAGTGTTGAAAGTTCAATAATCAATGTAAAAAGATAAAAAGTCTTAAAAGCTATTTTGCAAGGCATTCAATTTGATATATTTTTATATTATGCAATGTATGCTAAAGTTTTCCAGAATTAAAATGCAAATGGGGATGCTTTGTAGTTTATGAAATGAATGAAATCATACTTGATTTGCCGTCATGCTGCTTTGTTTACTGCAGTAATCAAGGCAAAAGCTTTATTTCTGGAGTTCTATAGGCGGCAACCTGCTGAATCAGCTAGATTTTATAGATTTTTATTCAGTTTATGAACAATATTTAAGTTTTGGATTAGTTTCTTCCATTAATATTTAATAAATATACTGTAAGCTAAAATCTCGCCTGTGTTTCTGGTTAAAACCTAAAGTGGTTATAAGGTCTTAAAATGTATGGAAAAAGTCTTAAAAAAGGTCTTAAAAGGTGTTGGATTTCACTCTGATTACTGTGAATACTCTGAGAGTTGGTTCTTTAACGCTGCTTATTGGCCATTGTGTCCGCATGGTCAACAGATATGACTGTGATTAACGCCAATGATCATCGCTTCATGCCATTTGCCGATTGTTTACACTGATACTAGAACACTGGAGCGTTTAAAAGCTACATCTATCAGCTAATCTGGATGGCTTATATATCTGCTCATAGACAAGTTCTCTGGTAGACATAGCTTTTAAACACTTTAGTGTTTAATAAGCTGCTTAAAAGTGCTCAAATGTTTGCGGGAAGTGGACATTTAAAAAAAATGTAAGTACTTATGGGTGCTGAAGTCTGTACTTTTGACATCCCTGCTGTCACACAAGAACTCATTTTGACATAATTCAAAGTATGTTTGAGAGAAAAAAATGGGCAGATTGTGTACAGCAGGGTTGTCAAACTCAGTTCCTAGAGGGCCGCAGCCCTTGCAGAGTTAAGTTTTGATCCTGTTCCAACACTTACCTGTAGGTTTCATGTAGTATGATCATGTGTGTTTAATTAGGGTGGAAAGCCAAGCTAAATTTCTGTCACTTGCGTTTTTTGTGTAAATACTGAAGTTTGCTTAAGACTTGACTGGAGCCTTAAAGGGGTAGTTCACCCAATTATTTCTAGATAGGATATTCTTAGGAAAACTAAAATCCTGTTAGCATTGACTTCCATAGTAGGATAAACAAATAATATAGAAGTCCACGGGTACAGGTTTCCTGCTTTCCTCAATAGATCTTTTTTCGGTTGATTTTTTTTGGGTGGACTATCCTTTTAAGGTATTGATTTAGCTAAAATCTTGAATCAAGTTATGCATTCCAGCCTTAACTGGTCAAAACAAGTTTTCATATCTTTGAAAATGGTTGTCAATGTTTTGCAGGAGCATCATAAGCGATCCATTCCCAAAGACACATGGAACCTTTTGTTAGATTTCAGCACGATGATCACAGATGATATGTCAAACTACGACGAGGAGGGTTAGTCGCAACTTTTTTCTTGTATTTTATCATTTCATAATTTTACAATCTTTTAAAAGCGAGTTAGTGTTAACAGTCTGTTTACAATGTCAAACATTTCAACTTAAAACATACAGTAAAGGGATAGTTTATCCAAAAATGAAAAATTCTGTTTTCAAACTGTTTGCTAACACTTCCTCAGCAAAGTGTAGATTTACTTTACATTAAAACCTACAACAGAGACACATCTTACACACACTGCCAAACTTTACATACATATTAGCGAACAAGGTGACGACACTAAACATTGGCCTGGCATACGTAATACAGTAATTTAACCTTTTTCTTTACATCGCAAGAAATGCAAACATACACTGCTGCCTTAGCCGGCAGCTAGCTCTCTGGCGCAATTTGGCTGCCGTCTCGTCATCCAGGTAGATGCTGCACACTGGTGGTGTATGAGGAGATTCCCCTCAACACAGCGAAATCCTTTGAGTAAAATTTACTCAGTTTAGATTCAGTATTTGCTCTCTCTCTAAATTGAGTTCAAGTTTGCTCAAGTTAATGAGATGGTGAAAGGATTAATTAGGTGATGAAGCACTGCTGATGAACATCCGCAAAACTACAACTGACTTCAATCAAAGCCTTAGATGAAATCAGCTGAAATAAGACATTGAATCTCTCAAAATCTCAGCAGAGGATCATTAAGCAACTCCTCAAATAACAGCTTTACTTATTACCAACCTATTAGCCCTTATTTAAAGAGGGAACAAATACTCTCTGAACTGAGTACATTTTACTCAGAGGGTTTTGCAGTGAATGTGTAAATCGCTTTGAGTGTCTAAAAAAAGCGCTATAAAAATGTAAGGAATTGTTATTATTATTACAGAGATACGTAACTAGCACGTGCACAAGCCAGAAGAATGAAAACAAAGGAACCGGCATTTTTAAATACACAGCTGAGATATTACACATCATAATACTATATACATATAATGACGAGCAATAGTTGACCCAGGGTCCGTTCTTCGTACGTGGATTTCTCAGTTAGCTGGATTTGGATATTGACGATTTGACACGATCCAGGATCGTTTCGTTCTTCAATGCTGATCCGAGAGTTGTTGTCATAGCAACAGTTCTGCTAGGTCAAACCTGATCAGGAGCAGGTTTAATTCATATAAACAGGATTAGATCGGCTTAGTTCAAGCAAAGATAATACAGAAAGTACGTTCCTAATTCTGATTTTCTTACAGTAGTAGTTATATACACTTGGGAAAATGGTACATATTTTTAAACTATATATATATATATATATATATATATATATATATATAAGTTATAGTCATTAATAAAATAAATAAAGTTATACATATTAATAAGACGTATGCAATCTGCACCCTCGAAATGAAAGTACAAAGACTGCCACCTGGTGGTGCAAAGAGAAAACTTATTGATATGAACTTTTTAGATCGCTTTAGTACAAATTGTGTATAATAGAAATGCACAATATGTGACTGTTTTTTTCTAAAGCAATAATACATTTATGCAGTCATGAACATGTTTTGATAGTTAATATGCCAGTGATTTGATGCTTCACAAAAGTTGCAGACGCCTTTACCAATATGAAAACGCTTTTTTTAAACAACCAGTTATTCTTTACACCGATTAAAAAACGGCTACTATAATAGAGAAAATATTTTCTAAATGTGGAACTAAATACATTGATTTGCATTGAAATACATGATGAATACTCTTGACACATGAAAGTGTAAAGCCTGCAGCTCACAACAAATGTGGAAGGTTATTGCGTGTCATATTTAACAAACCATTTACTGCTAATTTGATGTAATTTTGCTCGCATGGATAATTGAATATTAATCAGATGATGTCATTACGCTGCTGTGCTGTCAGCCAATCGTTGCATTGCTGATCATGATTTCGAGGATCGATAGATCTGTCCTTCACAACACACGCAGCGATCTCAGATCAGTTTATCCAGACATTCTAATCTGATTCGCGAACTCGTTTGAAGAACCAAATTAGCGAGAGATCAGTTATCAAGATTAAAAGATCCGGGATCTGCCAAATAATCTTAGATCATTTAAGCGAGGTACGAAGAACGGACCCCCAAGCTTAAACAAACCTTGTCGTCGTCTTGATGAACAGCCACAAAGCCAAAAAGAAGAGCAGTGCCCCGTATCCTGCGCCCCGTAGTTGTCTACAAGGCCGTCTAAAGCGCAAGCTTTACTTTCTCGCATGCGTTCACTGCTCGTCTATATTTTAAAATAACCTTTTTGAGCTCATGATGATAACATGTGAGAGCTAAGTGCAAAAAACAAAACAAAGGTGAAGCCGGAAAAAGCAAAGGAGCAAATAATTTTTTTAGCAATCTAAACCATGAACAAACTGCCATGTTTAACTATTATTATCACCTTTTGGACTATTATGAACTTGGAATGGTAGAATTACCTTTTATTAAGAGGTTAGATGTGCTGGTGAAGATTAAAGAGGCAGATGTTTGCACTGACTGAGCTGTCTTTTGTGTTGTTTTTGAACCAAAATAAGGACTAAATGTCTGCTGTGTGTAGTTTATCTTTAATTGGTAACAAATCAGAAACTGTAAGGGTCTGTATGTGTTCATATATGCTGCATTTATTTATTTAATATAATTGAAGATGTTACAGTAGGCTATTCCACTATATCAGCTATTACCACTGATCTGCAGTTATAGTCTAATCATGTTCATAGACAGGTTAGTAATAAACATTACTTCATAATAAACATTGCTTCATACTTCACTAATTCATGACAGAGTTTTAATTTTTGAGAGAACTATGCCTTTATTTATTGTTAAAATTCAAAACGAGGCTTCCATTAACTAAACTTAATTATTGCCTTTTCTTTTTCAGGAGCCTGGCCAGTTCTTATTGATGATTTTGTGGAGTTTGCGCGGCCGTGCATCGGCACCAAGAGTACAGCTGTATGAGTACATTCCTTCAGAGGGACTTCTGGACCTCATTGAAAACAAACAGCTTCTGCTGAGCACAGAAGACTGAACTGAGATCTGCATTGCCTTTTCCAAGCCCTCAGGACTGAGACATTTATACAAACCAGAGACATTAAAGGCGTCTTTTCTCTTCAGTCATCTAATGGTGGTTTGGGCTTTTGTCTTTTTGGGCCATTTTTGTTTTCTCTTCGTACAGGATTGTATTGAATCTGGCACTTCTTCAGTGGTCTCATTCAGATGAAGCGGTTTGTTGAGCAAGCTCCGACAGATACAGTTAGGAAATGTCAAAACCTTAATTTTAATAACTCCATGTGCATTCTCGCTTTGAATGTTTGTTTGTTTTTTTCTTTCCATTTGGTTTTTATGAAAATTATATGTCAAGCGTTGTTTGATTGTTCTCTTTCTCTCTTTTTTTTTATAAAACAGAGAAGCTGGTGTCTTGAAAACCAGTCACATTTAACTTGTTTTATTGTGACGATGTACATTTTCTGTTGATATCCAGACAGTAACTTCAGCTTTGCGCGTTTGGTTTTGATTAAATCAATAGGTCATAACTGAAAATGTTATATTTTACAATCGTAGAAATAATATTAATTTTGAACCATACCTCAGTTTTCCTTGATTAATGACTCCATTTTGATGTATTGATATACTGTGTTTGCAGTTCATTCAGCACTTTGATAAGTCACATAATCCATATCATATAATCAGGTTATAGTTGATGAATAAAGTCAGATGGCCTTGAAAATAGTTTTATTTTCTCTATGTGTGTGTTATCAGTGTTTACCCACAGAGTGCAACTTTTATTGACCATTTCTTCTACATATTTTTAAAATATTATTAATTTGAGGTGCACAGAACATAGTGTTTCGATGAATAATGCAGGGTTCATACGGTCATGGAAAACCTAGAAAAGTCATGGAGTTTTGACATGGCATTTTCCGGGCCTGGAAAAGTCATGGAAATTACATTGTCATTTAGCAGACGTTTTTATCCAAAGCGACTTAAGCTGCGGACACACTATAGCTTATGCTTGCGAAATTCTGTCTGATGGTGCTGCGATAAGGGGTGGCATTAAACGATATGAATAGACGTTAACAAAAGTGAGCGATTGCTTCATTCCTACTGAAAAAAACAGCTTAAACCAGCCTAGGCTGGTTGGCTGGTTTTAGAGCGGTTTTGGCTATTTCCAGGCTGGTTTACATTAATTTCCAGCCTGGTTTTAGCTGGTCAGATTGGGAGATGACCAGCTAAAACCAGTTTGACCAGTCTAGCCAGGCTGGGAGCCCAGCCAAAACCAGCTATGTCCAGCTTAAACCAGGCTATTTAAGCTGGCTTTAACTGGATTTAGCTGGTCATTTTCCAGCCTGACCAGCTTACACCAGGCTGGAAATGGCCAAAACCCCTCTAAAACCAGGCTGGTCAACCAGCCAACCAGCCTAGTCTGGTTTTAGCTGGATTTTTCAGCAGGGATATTTTAAATTTCTTATTTTAAATGATCTTCTATATTGGTCTGATGTGATTTCGCAAGTAAGAATTCAGCAAGCTTGAACGTTATTTGAACTTTATGAAACAAAACATCCCCGCTTAAAAGAAAACCACAGATATGCCACAAAAGATTCAGATGGTTTCCACTAATCCCATTAAAACCATTTCAAGTCATCACATTTTAACCATGCGTTTGAATAGTTTCTTTGTTGACATTGGACATATTCCATCCAAATTACCAGGGGAGACTCACAAAACCAACACCATTAATACAATTAAAACAAATTACTATTACAAAACCACTAGAACAAAGGTGTCCAAACTAGGGCTCGTGAGCAAAAGTTTGCCTATGGTATAACCTTTGATTTGTCCTGCCATCCCATCGGAGTCTGAGAATGATGGGGATGTTTTAAGATTGTCAATTTAATGTAACCATTTGTTTGTTTTATTGTTAGAAGCTAACTGAAATTAAATGGTGTAAATGAATCAGAATTTGTTTTAATGCACATACAGTCACCCGACAATCCAGAGACTTTGGTGAGCAAATTAAGTCAAAGGCAGATTTTGCTGGACTGTATTTAGCATTGAACACTACTGTGTTATAAATGTGATTGTTTATGGGGTTTTTTTGCAGAAAGTTGTCATTCAAAGAATTATACTGAATTACTTTATATACGATTTTAAGTTAAGTTTTCAATTTACTTTGAACTGAAAACAATTCCAATGTTGGGTTGCCACCAAAGGCTTTGTAATATGCTGGGTAAATTGGTGGTTCATTTACCTGTGGCGACCCTAGATTAACAAAGGGACTAAGCTGAAAAGAAAATTGATAAATGTATATTATGAAAAAATAGGAAATTAGCCATGACAACTTTAATGTATGTTTGATATGTTTACCTTCGACCCATGGCTCTCAGTTGATATTTAGTTTTTGGCCCTTCATACGAAGAAGTTTGGTCACCCCTGGACTAGAACTAACGGAAGAGTTCCTAATTGTAAGCATAGATTAGCTATTTTATTTGTTATTTTTCCTTTTTTTCTGCTTCTCTTTAGAGGAGCGTTTGGCGTCACCTGTAGGTTGAAAACGGTACTTTGATAGCATCGTTGCTTGGAAACGAAGGTTGAAAACACAACGATAAACGTCTTGTAATCCGCTCCAGCCTTCAGTATTTTGGCGTTGTGCAGTTCTGAAACAGGACAAAATGTCCAGCGCTCTGTTAGAAGAAGTAGGTTGGGACGCGGATTTTGCTATCCCTGTTGCTAATGCAGAAAACAAAGCATTAGAGGAGCAGGTGAGTGTGAAATCTAACCTTACTATAATTTACTTCACTGTTAAAAAACATTGTGGGTTCTGTGTGTGTCTGTGCAACGTTATAGCTAAATATATTTTTTGTTTTCTTTTACCCCTCTCTATACAGATTCGAAAGAAGCAAAAAGACATATTAAACCTTGACAACAAACTGAATAAACACAAAGATGTTATAAATGCTTTGACTGAACATCTCAAAAATCTCAAGCAAGAGGTTTCACACAATCAGGTAACGTTACAAGATCTCTTTGACTTAACGTTAGAATTTTAATAACTCCTTGTGTATTCTCGATTAGTTTTTCCCTTTCCACTTGGTTCTGATTTTTTTTCTCTGCTAACCACTGAGCTATCGTGTTGTCCCAGGTCATAAGTGTCAGTTTTTTTTATTATCAGAACAATGAATAAATACATTCAAAAAATTACATTTGCTGTTTGTTCAAACTACTTATTTAAAACAACTCAATTCTTGGGGCGACAACTTAATTTTGAATGTTCAATCCACTTAAATTTGTAAAAACTAATAAGCTAACTTAATTCCCTTATGTTGTCCCAACACTCTCTTTTTAATAAAACAGAGTAGCTGGTGTCTTGAAAATCAGTCACATTTGCGTTACTTTTTTGGGTTTTTCTGTGATGATGTAATAACAGTATAACAACGCTATAATAACATTGTACAAATAATATTAATTTAAACAGTACCTCAATTTTCCTTGATTAATGAGTCCATTTGATGAAGCAAAAAGACATATTAAATCTTGACAACAAACTGAATAAACACAAAGATGTTATAAATGCTTTGACTGAACATCTCAAAAATCTCAAGCAAGAGGTTTCACACAATCAGGTAACGTTACAAGATCTCTTTGACTTAACGTTAGAATTTTAATAACTCCTTGTGTATTCTCGATTAGTTTTTCCCTTTCCACTTGGTTCTGATTTTTTTTCTCTGCTAACCACTGAGCTATCGTGTTGTCCCAGGTCATAAGTGTCAGTTTTTTTTATTATCAGAACAATGAATAAATACATTCAAAAAATTACATTTGCTGTTTGTTCAAACTACTTATTTAAAACAACTCAATTCTTGGGGCGACAACTTAATTGTTTATGTTCAATCCACTTAAATTTGTAAAAACTAATAAGCTAACTTAATTCCCTTATGTTGTCCCAACACTCTCTTTTTAATAAAACAGAGTAGCTGGTGTCTTGAAAACCAGTCACATTTGCGTTACTTTTTTGGGTTTTTCTGTGATGATGTAATAACAGTATAACAACGCTATAATAACATTGTACAAATAATATTAATTTAAACAGTACCTCAATTTTCCTTGATTAATAAATCCATTTGATGAAGCAAAAAGACATTAAATCTTGACAACAAACTGAAGAAACACAAAGATGTTATAAATGCTTTGACTGAACATCTCAACAAATCTCAAACAAGAGTTTTTTAGTTACCTGAACACTGAATAAATACACTCAAAAATTACATTTGCTGTTTGTTCAAACTACTTGTTTAAAACAAGCTAAAACAACACAATTCTTGAATTTTTTTTGTGGTGAAAACTTAATTGTTTTATGTTCAATCCTCTCTTTTTTGTATAAAACAGATTAGCTGGTGTCTTGAAAACCAGTCACATTTGCGTTACTTTTTTAGTTTTTCTGTGGAGATTTAATAACAATATTACAATGTTATAATAATACCGCACAAATAATGTTAATTTAAGCAGTATCTCAATTTTCCTTGATTAATAACTCCATTTGATGAAGCAAAAAGAAAAAAAAATATCTTGACAACAAACTGAAGAAACACAAAGATGTTATAAATGCTTCGACTGAACAAACAAGAGGCACAAGCACTGAAAAAATTTTTCAGAGATGATTCCTTGGATTTACTAAAATCTTTTACTTTAAGTGGTTGTAAACAATTTATTTGTGTTGAATTTAAATAAACAAATTAAGTTGAACATTATTAAACTTAATTTGTTTGTTTAAATTCAACACAAATAAATTGTTTCAACAGTTCTGCATGCAACACTTTTTACACTGTGTATATTTTCTTCTTTTGATGATTAATATTTTAAGAATTAATTTTTTTTTACAGTATTTCCTAAATTTTACTTCTGGAGAAAGTCGTATTTGTTTTATTTTGGCTCGAATAAAATTTTTTAATTTAAAAACAAAAACATTTTAAGGTCAATATTATTAGCCCCCTTAAGCAATTTTTTTTTTCATTGTCTACAAAACAAACCACTCTTACAATGATGTGCCTACTTACCCTAACTTGCCTAATTAACCTAGATAAACCTTTAAATTACACTAAGCTGAATACTTAGTATCCTGAAACATATCTAGTCAAACATTATGTACTGTCATCATGCCAAAGATGAATCAGTCATTAGAAATGAGTTATTAAAACTATTATGTTTAAAAATGTGTTGAAAAAATCTTCTATCCATTAAACAAAAATTGGGGAATAGATATACAGTGGGGCTAATAATCCTGACTTCAACTGTATGTGTTTGCATGTGTTCAGGCTTTGTGCAAAGCCAAAGAGAAGGAGACCGAATCGGAAGTGCATTTGAAAGCGCTGGCGGAGCGAGAGACAGGCCGCTTGAAGCAAGAGATCACTCGGCTGGAGAGTCAACTGACAACACTGAATGAGAAGAAGAATGCACAAGAGGTCACATCTGACTCCTACACCATGCATATTACATGACCTGTCCAGCAGAAACAGTTTAAAGCAATATACAGAAACCTTCATTTTTTTGTTGCTCATAAAATATAAATGTGACTCAGGATCATAAAGCCATTAATCATAAGTGTCAGTTTTTTAATTACCTGAACGAAAAAGAAATACACTCAAAAATTATGTTCAAAACAAGTGTTTAATCACTTATTTAAAACAAACTTAATTAGTTTGTTCAATCCACTTAAATTTGTAAAAAATAATA